CTGCCTGGAGCTGCCCAGAGATTCTCGGTGGGTGTCTACAGAAGGGGGTCCTGGTCCTCAAGGAAGCGCTGTGAGCGCCGCGTGCGCACACGGGCTTGGGTGTTTGTTACCCGCTGTGGAGATGCGTGGACTTGGATGTTACTCCGGCTCTGGGGGTGCACCCCTCTTCGGTGCGTGGACTTGTGTGCTGACACTGGCACATCGTGTGCCGATGTGACCGAGCGTGCGTGGGCCTCTGGGTCCTCCCTCCTCCCCCAGGCAGACGGAAGCGCCGGTTCATTTTTGGAGCAGGTGCTGTTTCTCCCCTTCCTGCTGGTCCCTCCCAAGCAGAGGTCTTGGGCCAGGCGGGGGCACGGGGAGAAGGGCCCCGCCGCCCCTCCCCCACGCCGAGATCCCTCCTCCTATTTCCTGTCTTTTTGGCTGCTTTCTCCATCTTTGCCATCTGGCCTGGCACCGTGCCTGCTCAGCTCCACTGTCGGGAGTCTTGGAGTTCAGGGCGGCAGGGGGATGGGCGGGGGGCCCAGGGCAGGGGCCTAGCAGCTCTGGGGGCTCAGCTTGGGCCGCAAGGGGGGTCTCCTGACAAATAAGCTCCATGATAAAGAAGCCTGGAGGCCTCTCTCCTCCAAATCAGGAGGCATCCCATTTCCTCTGCTAGAGGACATCCGAACCGCCAGCAGCAGCTCGTGGAATGCATGTTTGGTCCGTTTAACGCTTTTTGACAGAAGTTCTTGGGAAATAATTCACTCACTCAGTCCGTGTCTGGTAGGCACCTTCTAATTGTTAACACCTGCTGGTTCTCCAAATGCAAAGGTCAACCATGATAGAGTGTGGCCGAGGCTATAATGCGAACTGCTATTGAAGTTTTATAAGGCCAGCTATTTTCCAAACAGGCCTTGTAAGGGACTTGATCTTTTACTAAGTGAGTTATTCTCAATCGCCTGGAGTTTGACAAGAGTGGTTAGGTGATGTGACTGATCTGGGAACCCTAGAAACGGGAGGATGAGTGGATGGGCGAGGAAAGCCTTTCTGCCAGTAGCCAAGGAGGCCTGTCCTCCAAGAGCAAGCAGCAGCTCCTTAGCAGCAAGGTATCAGCAGGGACCAATCCCAGGAGCAGGGACTCCTGCTTGGCAGTTTAGAAGGTCGTTGAAAACGAGGAAGACCCTCAAAGAGAGGAATTGACACAATACCTATGGACGGTGCATGCAGCTATAACCAGAGTCCTGTTCTGCTGTCCACTGGGCCTCTCTGAGTCATAGCCCAGCTCCAGGCACCCAGTAACCACGTGAGTACCAAAGTACAGAGACTGCTGGCTGGCTGGACATAAAGCCTGGCCTGCAAGGACCTTACCATCTACTTGGTTACAGGGAGCAAGTACACCTGAAACCTGAGGGGTTCAAGACAGCAAACAAAATGCGTAAGGACTTACAAAGAAACCGTTACATCGGGACGGGGTGTGTGTGTGTGTGTGTGTGTGTGTGTGTGTGTGTGAGATACCTTTGTGGTAGCAGCGCTTGAAGTGAGAAAATGGAAGTAGGCTTGAACTAGATTTCAATGACCCAGAGAGGAAGTGTAACAGAAATGTAACCAAAGAGACACACCAGAAAAGGCCAGGTGCTCCCCGAGCACCCATCCACATCTTCACCCTCCCACTCTGGTTGGCAAGCAGCAGAGGCAGCCTGGACTTTGGAGCCAGGTGAATCATGACCACTCCTCATTGACCTCTGGAGCTCCTGTTTTCTTCTCTTGTAAAAGCTGGATAAACACCGACCCTCTGGGACATTGGAAGGAGTGCAGATCATGCACAAAGCACATCCCTGGATGTGGTGATAAGTCAATGGGAGCAATTGTTTTCCACTTAACATCTCTGGAGGGAGGTGCTGGCGAAACTGCCTCAGGCACAGTGCACAGCCCCTCCCTCAAGGAGCTCCCATCCTGGTGGGAGGGGTGAACGAAGAACAGCTCATCGCAGCACGTGTGGTAACAGCGCTGATAACCCGCTGCACAGAGTTGCCCTGGAAGCCCAAGTGAGGGAGGACGTCTCTTCCTCCTGGGGAAGGCAAGGGCGCCTGAGCCCTGAGGAATGGCGCCGTTTGTAAGCTGGTGACCAGGAGGAAGGGCAGTCCAAGTAGAAGACGCAGCACTTGCAAAGGCTTGAGTCCTGAAAACTATAAGGTATGCCCCAAATTGCTATTCCCTGGTCTGACAGGAGCAAAGGGACAGGGTAGGATGGGGTGGACCCGGAAATGCATCAGGTTTTATGATGGGTTAGGGCCTTGTAAAACGCAGCAGTGTGGTGGGGGCATCTGACCTCCTCTCACTTCACAGGGGGACAGAGACTCAAGACCAGCCCCAGACTGATCCCTCTGAGGCGGCGGCCAGACTTCCCTCAGCTCCAACCTTTTTTTTTTTTTAACCAATTCTGAATCCTGCCAGCCCTCCATGCCGGGCTGGATTAGTCACGGAGCAAGGGCTTGCTTACTAATGGAGCTCTGGTGGTATAGTGGGCTCGGCTCTGAGTTGTCCACCACAACCCACCCGTTACTCCTCAGGAGAAAGGGGAAACTGTTTGCTCCTCTAAGGGTTTAAAGTCTTGAAAACCCCAAGGGGCAGTTCTACTCTGCCCTATGTGGTCACCCTGAGTCGGAATCGATTGGATGGCAGAGTCTGAGTTTGAGTGCTCATTGATTGTAAGGAAGGAGCCGAGTGGCGTAGGAGTTAGACGTTGGGCTGCTATCCTCAAGGTCAACAGTTTGAAACCACCAGCACCTCCACGGGAGAAAGATGGGACTTTCTACTCTCAATGAAGTTACAGTTTTGGAAACTCACTGGAGCAGTTCTATACCATCCTACAGGGTCGCTCTGAACCTGCATCAACTGGATGGCAGTGAGTTTGAATTTTGGTACTTACTATAATTGTTAAGGGGCCTTGGGGGTAGGCATTGGGCTGCTAACTGCAAGGTCAGCTGTTAAAATCCATCAGCTGAACTAAAGAAGAAAAAGGAGGCTGGCTGCTCCCGTAAAGACTTATGAAACTTTGTTATAGATTAGTAAGAAGGCACAAGTAAGCTTGTGCTGACCTCTCTTACAGGAGGCTCCATCCCCGGGATGGATTTTACATTGGAAAAGAGGTTTGGATTTTGTAGGAAGGTGCTGTGGGGTTGGAGACAGATGCCAGCCACACCTAGAGGCCGAAACTTTGCTGCAGTGAAAATGGTCACTACAGATTGGTAAAAAGCATAATAAACCTGTGCTTTCCTTATTGGGAAACCTGATACTGTTCATACAGCACTCTGCTTCTCTCCTGGGACCAATAATGAACTGCGATGGCCACCCAATACTCATAATCATACTTCAGTGTCATTATGGGTTTACTAGGAAAATGACAGATTCAGGATCAGGAGTGAGTCAGAATACAGTTTGTCTGAACAGCTTCTTGGGCATGCCCACAAGCAGGCCCGCTCTCTCGTTGATCCTTGGTGCCTCAGCCCTTTGGGCTTCTTGTGTCAGTCTGGCCCTGCCATGCTTGGGCTCATGTTACAAAGCTCTTTAGTTCTATTAAGTGCCCAGAGGGACCCCACCCTGCCAGCAAGCCTCTTGCCAAAAGCAGCACAGCTTTCTCACCCCAGGAAGCCCGCAGCACCGTCTCCTGCCGGTCCCCAGTGTTACAGCTCTGTCTATGGATGTAGAATGTTCTCAGTGCAGAGATCCTGGATCCAAAGGATATTTTCCCCTCCTAGCTTTTTCTCTCCTTGTAGAGGTATCCCTTTTCTACCTCTAGGATAGCTTGTTTTAAGCTTAGTAGGATAGAAAACGTAACCAATCCCCTTGTTATGGCTCCATATACCTTAGTTGCATGGTCCCATCCTTATTAGAATTATTTACAAGCGGTCCAACCCCCTTGGTGGGCCATACACACCTTATTTGCATAATCCCACCCAATTATTTGGTAGGTGTTATGGGACCATGGTGAGAGAAGCCATATAGAAGTGATCCTTCATACCGGCATGGTTAGACCGCATATAGTAATACTGTCGTCAATAAAATTGTTATTTCCCATAAGGTTATGTTCCTTTATTCCCTCTAACCCAGCAGTTCTCAACCTTTAGGGGTCGAACGACCCTTTCACAGGGGTCACCCGACTCAGTAGCAAAATGACAGTAATGAAGTGGCAACAAAAATAATTTTATGGTTTGGGGGCGGTCACCATCCCATGAGGAGCTGTATGAAAGGCTCGCGGCATGAGGAAGGTGGACAACCAGTGCTCTAACCAGTCTGCCTCTTATAATATCAAACAGCTGGTGGTGGTGGTTAGAGAAGGACAAACCCAAAACTGCCTGTTTGAGTCAACCTGTTTAGCTCGATGTAGGAGTTCCAGCAGGTCCTTTAGAAAGGAATAGGGGCCTTTGGGGTGCGCTGGTTAAATGCTCAGCTGCTAAGCAAACGGTTGGCTGTTCAAATCCACCAACTACTCTGTGAGAGTAGATGCGACAGTCTTCCTCTAAAGATTTACAGCCCTGGAAACCCTATGGGGTCATTCTATTCTGCCCTACAGGGTCGCTCTGAGTCGGAATCAACTCAGCAGCCATGGGTCGGGGTTTGAAGGGAATAAGCTCAATGTCTTAGAATTGTTCAAGGTCTCAGACAACTTTACCGCCCCAAAATGCTCTCTGGGTTTGGGTTGGACGGGTGGCTTCTCTTGTCATGTGGTGCTGAGGCCGATGGGCCCGTCAGTGCATTGCCTGTCTGCTAGCCCCTCTGCCTCTTAGCACTGTCCTCCACCAGCCTGACTCTGCCAAAGACTGCTGCTGTGGTCTGTCTGCAGCCTATTCAGAGCCTGCGGTTACTCTGAGAACCTGCCGTTGTGGGGGTGGGGGTAGCGCCTAGTGAGCCCTCCTTACCAAATTACCATCTCCTCCTTCTCTTCCCCATTTGAGAAGCTCCTTCACCTGTGGGGGCACCTGAAAAAGGTTAACTCACAGGTCCTTGCCAGGAGGACCTGGCAAGACTTTGCTGCCAAGTGAATGCAGACGTGGCTGTGCCCAAGCTTTGGAGAGCTCCATTGTATTTCCATTTGACGGATCAATGAAGAAGCAGGGTGAGAGAGATCAAACTAGGTGAACCCAGGTTGCTCTGACCCTAACCCTTGCCCACACAGGAGCAATGGTGGATTCGATAAGTATACAAACAAGGGAGTTTGAACTTTATTCTTTAGATAATGGCCAAGCCAGGCCCAGTCTCTAGCCGAGGGGAGGTGCTCCACGTACTCCTGATATACTACCTATGTATCTGTCTGCCCTGACATGCTGCTACCTATTATACTTCTTTAATGTCTCTCTCCCTCGACAGAATGCAAGCTCAATGGGGCAAGGCCTTCATTTTGTCCACTGCTGTGAATGTGCTTGGTGCCCTTTAAAGGCCTCACAAGCACTTGTGGAAGAAAGAAAAGAGAGTAGAGCAGTGCTTTACATAAACCATCTAACTCATGGCAGAGGAACTACTTTTTTTTTTCCAGGAAAATGAGGTTCAGAGAGATGAAGTAACTTTTCTGAGGTCACACAGCTAGGCAAGTTGGCAAAGCCAGACTTTAAACCCAGCTAGTCTGGACTTCAGAGCCTGGGCACTTAACCCCTCTGCTCCAGCCCTGCCGTACAACCTGTTCTGGCTGGATAAAAGGTGGGGAAAGACTGTAGGCAGAGGAAAAGAGATCTGTTTGTCTAGCTCAGGGGGCGACAAACTGCTGCTGGCCGGCCATATGAGGCTCTTAGTGTGCCTGTATGTGGCTCTGCGGTAAAATTGGGGGGGAAAATTCAAGGGTTTTACTCAGAGAATGGTGATCTCATTTGTCAAAAATATACTTATGGCTCTCTCGAATAATTTTTAAATTGTTATGAGGGTCAGGATGGGCTCTTTCACCCCAAAAGTTTGCTGACTAGCTAGGTAAGTATATACGCCCTTATCCCTGCCTTACCTTGACTTTCGGCTCCCCTTCCATCCCAGGTTTTCACAGCCACAGCTGTGACCAAAGGCAGCCCACTGCCCTGGAGGCGCGCGCTCCGCTTGCTCGGGAACCCTCTCCAGACGTCCACTCAGTCCACTCGGGGTGAACGTGATGCCAGCACCCCGGTGTGCCCCGTGATGACGCCGGCCTAATTACCCCTCTGGCCCGGGCAAAGATGCTGGCCAACTCAACAGCCAACATCAATGCCACCGAAGAGCCTGTTCTGTGTCCAGACTACCGGCCCACGCACCGCGTGCACATGGTGGTCTACAGCCTGGTGCTGGCCGCCGGGCTCCCCCTCAACGCGCTGGCCCTCTGGGTCTTCCTGCGCAGACTGCGCGTGCACTCCGTGGTGAGCGTGTACATGTGCAACCTGGCGGCCAGCGACCTGCTCTTCACCCTCTCGCTGCCCGTGCGCCTCTCCTACTATGCCCTGCACCACTGGCCCTTCCCGGACCTGCTGTGCCAGACGGCGGGCGCCATCTTCCAGATGAACATGTACGGCAGCTGCATTTTCCTCGCGCTCATCAACGTGGACCGCTACGCCGCCATCGTGCACCCGCTGCGGCTGCGCCACCTGCGGCGGACCCGCGTGGCGCGGTGCCTGTGCCTGGGCGTGTGGGCGCTCATCCTGGTGTTCGCCGTGCCCGCCGCCAACGTGCACAGGCCCTCGCGCTGCAGGTACCGCGACGGGGAGGTGCGCCTGTGCTTTGAGAGCTTCGGCAACGACCTGTGGCAGGGCCGGCTGCTGCCGCTCGTGCTGCTGGCCGAGGCCCTGGGCTTCCTGCTGCCGCTCGTGGCCATGGTCTACTCCTCGGGCCGGGTCTTCTGGACGCTGGCGAGGCCCGACGCCACCCGGAGCCAGCGGCGCCGCAAGACCGTGCGGCTCCTCCTGGCCAACCTGGTCATCTTCCTGCTGTGCTTCCTGCCCTACAACGCCACGCTGGCCATCTACGGGCTGCTGCGCGGCCAGCTGGTGGTGGCGAGCGAGGCGGCCCGCGACCAGGTGCGCCAGGTGCTGATGGTGATGGTCCTGCTGGCCAGCGCCAACTGTGTGCTGGACCCGCTGGTCTACTACTTCAGCGCCGAGGGCTTCCGCAACACCTTGCGCGGCGTCAGCACGCCACTGCGAACCACGACCTTGCCCACGAACGGGACTCGAGAGATGCTAACCGAACGGTTGGCTGGCACCACCCACTGCACCGACGCAAATGCCTCCAGCCAGGGGCTGCTAAGACCCGCCTCCCTCCGGCCTCCCATCACTCAGTGCCCCCAAGATTCGGCCCTCTGATCGCTCAGGGCCCAACCGAGGGAACCATCAGCCCTCCCTCCCCGCTTTCTGTCTCACAGTGAGCTCCTCGTGGAAGTCGGGTGGGGTGGGACACCAGGGCTCACGGATGGCGATCCCAGCTCCTAAGTGCAGAAGGGAAAGAGTGGCAGTTAGGGGCACAGGGCAGGAGGTGTGCTGGTGGGAATTCTTGACGTCGGTCGTGGTGTTAGGAACCCGGAGCCGAGCCGTCCTCTTCCTTGGTGGTGAAAAGGATGCAGGCAGCCTGCCCTCCCTCGCCGAGGCGCGATTGCGTGAGGGGGTTTCCTTGGGGCAGGGGCTGGCTGATGGGAGGGAAAACCAATACCCTGGATTTCCTGGACCCATCACACCGAGGAGTAGAAGCTGAAGAACCTCAGACGAGTAGAAGCTGAAGAACCTCAGACCTGGGTGGACAAGCCACCGAGTTCAACTGCTGACTTCTCTGTGGAGCTTGGAGCTGCGAAGTCCTTCCCTCTCATCTCCACCTGGGCAGCCTCAGCTCAGCATTGAGGTGTAATAAAGATGGGGGGGAAGAGCTTATTTAAGATGGACAGAAATGGTAACCTTCTTGTCTCATTTATAACCTTGCAATCATTTATACCCAACACCCAGCCTGGTAGTTAGGGGTCAGACAAAAGGAGAGAGAAGTCCTGTCAGTATCTCCCTCCACCCCACGCCCCCACCTCTCCCAATCCTGGTCCCTTTCAAGATTATCCCTCATGCTCCATGTCACTCCCCTTTCAGGGTCTCTTCCAGTCCAAGCCCTTAATGTTGGTTTTATGTGTTTCTCTCTCTGCTGAAGTTAAAGAGAAAATTCTTTGTACTAGAGGGACCTAGGACCCCTGATGGCTTAGTGGTTATGTCTTGGGCTGTGATCTGCAAAGTCAACAGTTTGAAACCGCCAGCCACTCTGCAGGAAAAAGATGGGGCTTTCTACTCCTGTAAAGAAAGTTGGTCTCGGAAACTCTCAGGGGCCATTCTGCTCTGTCCGATAAGGTCACTATGAGTCAGCATCAACTCAGTGGCAGTGAGTTTTTGTGTAAAGGGACCTGAGACCCTTGACACATAAAAATGGAAGGTCCCAAAGAGCGTTTTTTTATGCTTTGTTCGCCTGACATTGGCCATATTAAATTTCCCCCCCAATAGTTTTATAGGTACATAATTCAAATATGTACCAATATGATACAATTGAACAGTTTAATCATTCAGTCACAACAAGAGGAGTTGTACAAGCCATATAAAAATTTTAAAGCACAGGAATCCACACGTATGCATCCTATGGAGGCTTGTAAGAAAATGAAAGTGAGAAGGGAAAGCTCAGCTTCGAAGTCGTAAGATGGTTTCAACCTCACCATACTCTGAGAACCACACCTGTATTAGAACTTCTTATTACATGTTTGCAAACTGGTGGTGGCTGGGGGCAGTAGGGAGAGCAGATTAAGAGTAGCACGTCCAATGAGCATTGGCCTTGAGGTGGGGCTGGAACGAATCACACAAACTCCCAAGGGCAGGAGGAGGGGCTGGGCCACAGTCAGGAGGTGAGAGTTTTCAGGGAAGTGAACAAGAGATAGGAGGGCAAGCCTACGCTGTTCTCAGCAAGCTGCAGGGGGGTGGGGAGGGGGGGAATAGAAGGCTGGTTCATGGGCCCCCATGTGCCACCTTTTGTTTCTCTCTAAGTTGAAGTGGCTGTAGAAGAGGCTATAGAGTTGATACTGTGACAGCTTCAGCCACTCATTAATTGTCGCTATCCATATGTGCTGTCCGTACTGTATGCCTTTCTGTGTGTAGGGGAGTGGGTGGGCAACGCTAGGATTTTCCACTGTGTTGTCTCAACGCCTTGTAGTTGGAATAAGTGAACCTTTTCCACGTGTCTTTTATGTGTGGGCTCCAGATGGTGATTTACAGGAGTAAAATGACCCCTGGTGGCCAAACTAGTGAACTGACCCACGTTCTTCAGGGACAGCCGTGAACACGCCTTCTTGTATACGCCTGCTTATCTCCTCCTCAGCCTCTGGGTTCAGGACCTGTGCCCCTTCCTGTCCCAGGGGTATTGACAGCACCTAAGCTTGTAGTCCAAAGGCTTAGCACTTTGTCCTACCCAACTGAACTTGAACAGTTAAAATTTCAAAAAGTACATGACTTACATGCAGGTCTATAAGTACAGTAGAAGACCAGTAAAACAACAAAAAAGACCTTCAAGGAGATGGATGGACACAATGGCTGAAACAATGGACTCACCCTTAACAGGCTGTGAAGGACTGGGCGGAGTCCTTTTGTTGGACGCAGGGTCCTTGTTACTGGTCAGAACCACCTTGACGTCCTTAAACAACAAACTGGATTCCCAGGGAATGAAAACTCACATAATACACATCACCTCGTACTCTACTGCCGTATATACTCGTGTATCAGCTGAGTTTTTCCAGCATATTTTTAATGCAGCTTTTGTGGTAAAATTAGGTGCCTCGGCTGATACCCAAGTACATCGAGTACTTTCGTTATTATAGTTGGTTGCCTATCTCTTTCCCTCCCACCCGAGCAGCATGTAAGCTCCTTAGGGGTGTGCCCCCAACATCCAGAGCAGTGCCTGGTGCAGAAGAGCTCAGCCAATGCTTGCTGAGTGACAGAATGGTCGGACCTTGCTGCAAACTCATTTGCTACCTAGTGAGGGCCACAGAACAAGTCAGCAATAATGCGAATGTGAGCATGCAGGGCCAGCACCCGCCGCTGATTCAGTGGGCCATGTGAGGCTCACCCTGACACGAGCCACAGGATAAACTCTAAGACAGAGTCCAAGAGGAAGAAAGATGGGCGAGGGAGGGAGCTAGGAAAATAGTCCAGGAGAGGTATGACCCCAACCTGTGGAAAGAAATGAACATGGCTCAGGACTAGCGTACCGTCTGATGGCCAAGATCTCTGGTCTGGTTCTCTCCCCTTCAGTATATTCTAGGAGTTCCATCCCCAGAACAGATGCAAGAATGGACTAAGGAGGTGTTGCAGGCAGAGGAGGGATCGAGCAGAATGCAACAAGCAACAGACGGTATGAAACCCTACGTCCGTTGCCACTTTTATAGGATCCCCCACTTACAGATGGATCCTGTCCTGGGAGGGGGTGCTTCCAGAACGTTCACCTCGTGTTCTGAAGCTACTCCATTTGAGTAACCTCCATTGGAAAGGGAGGAGGAGGATGTTTAGATACAGGAGAAAGCATGAACAGTTTGCGTGTGTGTGTGTGATACTGTCTGCCAGGATTTCAATTTAGTGTGTTCAAGATGCATTATTTAATTATTACAATAACCCTCTTGAGTGAGGTGCAATTATGATCCCCATTTTATAGTCTAAGCACCCGAGAGAGGCTGAGGTCTCAGAATCGTACGAATGGCACAGTTATCTCTCTGGTTTTTAAACCCTTATGCTGCAGCCTTCTTCTAGGTACCTCTCACCTTTCTATTCCAGCCTCTGTTATATTCCATCCCTCGTTTCCTTCCCATCCAGACCACCCCTTTTGCCTTCTTTCTCCCACAGGGAATCTGCTGTATGATTTCTGGGCCTCTCCCTCTAATGCTGATTATCCACACGCTCCACCTGTAACACAGGCACACATGCCCCTTTCCAGCACGCATGCCCCAGCCACCTGTGTTCAGCAGAGAGGCTGTGCAAAGGCTGACCCCGAGCCACTCCCCATCAAAGGGCTCAGGAGGAGGAGCTTGGTGGTGCAGCTGGCCCACACAGGATCACAGGATCGGCCAGCCACTGCTTACCCACACTCTTCCAACCTGAAATGGACCAAGATCCCCAGGTAGCAGTCTTCATAGGCCGCCACCAAAACTCATTTTACTTTGGTTCTCTGTTTCCCAAAGTCTGTCTTTGACGGCCCCGAACTTGGTGGGACTGGTGGGAAGGGATGGTTACTGGTGTCAGGAGGACCATATCAGAAGTGAGGGACCCTAAAGGAGGGCAGAGGCTTCCTTCTCATTTTGGGAAAACCCCCCTGCTGGGTTGCTATCTGGGGTCCCACGTTAGAAATGGGCAAGGGGCGAGGAATTCCTTTTTCACCAAGCCAGCCTTCTTCATTCCTTCCAGAAGTCTTGCAGACAAAGAGAGGCGGGGGTCATTCTCACCAGGTTACCCTTTCCAGAGACTGAGGTGCTGAAAAGGGAAGTTTCTCTCACGGGGTCTGGGGAATCCCAAAGGTTCCCTGAACTTTGGGGTTGAACAATCCTGGGAACTAATTTCAGCTCTGCCATTTCTTGCAAACGTGACTTTCGGCAAGTTACTTACTTAGCCTCTTTAAGTCCCTTGCTTTCTCCTCTGCAAGGTTCATGCTTCGGACTCATTTGGGTTGTTGGGTGGGCTGTCACCTTTGAAAGGTACCTGAGAACCAGCTCCTATTTGAAAACCCTCTTTCCAACAAGCGCATAGGGAAGGGGAGGCCCTGGGAAAGTCTGCAATGCCCAAGGGGAGCAATTCTGGAAGGCAGCAAGGGCTTCAGATGAATCCTCACCCACACAGGGCTCACTCAGGTGGGTCAAGGGACCTGGAAAGGGTAGCAGGCTGGGCAAGTTTCTGTGGTGCTCAGTCAAGAAATGGGAGAAGGATGGGCCTCCTACTCCCACAGTAAAGAGTTCAGGCTGGGAAGCCAACAGGGGCCGTTCCACTCTGTCCTACAGGGTCAGTCCGAGTGGGAATGGACTCTCTGGCAGTGATCGAGGTCAGGGCAGCAGTTTACAAGGGCAGTGGCTGGCCTGTTGCCCTCTGGGGGCATTCTCTTACCACTAAGCTGATGTCCATCCCACGGAGACTGAGGGGTAGGTGGAAAAGTGCGTGGACAGAAGAGGAGAGGGGCCGTAGGAAGAAGAACAAGTAAAGGAGAAAGGGCAAGGGAGGAGGCTGGAGGGGAAGTGAGGGCCCAGGCAGGCACAGGGTGGGGCTGGGAGGGGGCCCGGGGCAGGAGGGCGGGAGGGAGCCTGGGAGGGAAGAGATGACTGAGGGAGGAGGGACAGGGAGAGAGACCGGCAGCCGCTGACACAGCCTCAATGTGTGGAACGGGCTGGGGTTTGGCCCACAGGTCAGGCGTCTGGCAGTATTATGGGATGGAGAGGCCTTAGGAGACAGGGAGAGTATTATGGGCTGGAACAGTCTTAGGAGACTGGGGAATATTATGGGCTGGTGAGGCCCGGCTCCAACTGGAGGCGGGAGGAAGGGGTGCGGGGCGGGGTGGTGGTGGAAGGGAATATTATGGGCTGGAGGCCTCCTGCGACCAGAGGCAAGAGTATTATGGGCTGGCAAGGCCTTCAG